TGACATGGTTAGATTCAGATGGTAAATATTATATATTATGTTGGGTGTCCATATTAGAGATAATGACCATGTTTAGAATGAAACCATCATATTTAAAAACATGATATTAATCCTATCATATAATAAAATATCAATTGTTGTACTACTGTAAATCTATATTAAATTATTATGGGATCTCCTTCAATGCTTAAGAATCTTTACTTTTTAAAATGATTTTGTTTCTGCATTTTAAAATATATTTTTTATATTAACATATTTTAATGACTGTAAATTTATCGAACAAAAATTAATACTTTTATTTTTCAAAATAAGCAGAAAATAGTACAAACTTTGCTAAAGTGATTGTTTTGAACAAGTATTAACTTAGACATTATTTTAAAAATATATTATTTTAGCTGAAGTATTTGTATCAATACTGTGTGCCTTTTGCCCCATGCTGGTGAGCCTTTTACCCCGTGTGTGGGGTAAAAGGCCCCTCTTGCCACCTCATACATTTATAAGATATTTAAACAAAATAAACAACTTGAATGATGTATTTTCACACAAAATCTGTTGCTCCATTAATGTTTAATACAAGCGTATATATTTTTCAGCAATTATACATTTTACGCGCAGTGAATAACACATTTTTGTGTTGGTGTGCCTTTAGCCCTGTTGTACCCTACCGTTCTCAGAGGAACCACCCCAAGGGTCTGATCTGCCTCCATCACCGAAAGGGTCATTAGTTGTCACAGCATCAGTTGGAGCACCCCAGGGGTCATTTGCAGTAGGGGGTGAAGATGCTGTGAATAAGTAATACAATGATTAGATAGCAAGTGTGAAAATACATTTTTTGACAATAATGCCATCTCAAAATACTGCTGTAATCTAGATTTACACTACCATTCAAAAGTTTTTGGTCAGTAAGATTTTATAATGGTGAGTCTCTTATGTTCACCAACATGCAGTTTTATTATTTTTTTCAATTATTTTAAATCAAAAACAGTGTAAAAACTGTAAGATTTTAATGTATTTTGTTTCTAGTAATTTATTTCTGTGATGGCAAAGCTGAATTTTCAGCATCATTACTCCAGTCTTCAGAGTCTCATGATTCAAGTTCAGAAATCATTCTAATATGCTGATTTGGTTCTCAAGAATTACATGATCAAATGTTGAAAACAGTTGTGCTGCTTAATATTTCTGTGGAAATACTTTTTTTTCAGGATTCTTTGATTAATAGAAAGTTCAAAGGAACAGCATTCATTTGAAATAATTATTTTGTAACAATTTTGCCCAATTTAATGTTCTTGCTGAATAAAAATAAAATATTTTCAAAAATCTTACTGACCCAACTTTTGCACGACTGTTTAAGTTCACTAAATGTTGAAGTAATTCTCAGTCAGACAATAAAAAGCTGATTATTAGTGGACACTGAGGTGTGTTGTATCTTCCTGGTTCTTCAGTCCAGTCACTCTCTTACCTGCTGTGCCCCAAGGGTCATTATCTGCTTTTGAACCATCACCAAATGGATCAGACGTAGCTGATGATGCTTCTAATGGCGCCCCCCAGGGGTCAGAGGTTGCAGGTGCTGAATCCTGCACACTATCTGCAGGTGCCCCCCAAGGATCTGACGTTCCTGCGTCAGAGTCTTTCGCCGTTTCGGATGGAGCCCCCCAAAGATCGTTTGTTGACGGGGTTTTATCCTCTGAAAATCCAGCAGAGTCGCCCCATGGGTCACTGGCAGCAGGTGCGGATCCGTTTGTCCCATCAGCGGATCCACCCCAAGGATCATCAGTAGTTTGACTGGATTCCTTCGCCTCATCAGACGGTGCCCCCCACGGGTCGTTGGTAGCAGGGGCGGATTCGTTGGATGCGTCAGATGGGGCTCCCCAGGGGTCCGAGCTGGACGTAGGCGCTGCTGTCGCTGCTTTTTCCCAAAGATCTGGCTCTGTGTCACCCTCCTTTGCCTGAATCCACAAATTTCCATTATATCAGCTTGGACAGTCTAATAATGGTCAGATAATATGATCTTACTCAATATTACTCTAATGAAGTTTCTCGGAGTAATTGATCAGTCTGTCTCACCCGTCTCTCTGCCTCTTTCCTCTCGGCCTCCAGACGTTTCTGCTCCTCCTTCTTCTTGGCCATAGCGGCGGTCAGGTCAGCCACTGATGGGATGTTGTCCAGGGAGGGCAGCCCTGTATATGGCGGGATCTCTGGCTTTTCTTTTTCTGGTCCTGTAGCGGAGGATGCTGAGATAAAACATATGAGAGAGAAAAATTAATAAGTCAAAAAAGAACATTACACTACCATTCAAAAGTTTGTGGTGTGAAATTAAAAATATTGAAAATAAATTTCTTTAAAACAATAAAGACATTTAAGGTGTTACAAAATACTTATATTTTAAGTAAATACTGTTCTTTTTTCAATTAAAAAATGTCTCACAGTTTCCACAAAAATATTTGCAGGATAGCTTTGCCATCACAGGAATAAATTACATTTTAATATATATTAAAGTAGAAAGCAGCTACTTTAAATTGTAATAATATTTCACAACATTTCTGCTTTTACTGTATTTTTAATAAAATAAAAAGAGCATTTAAGGCTTCTTTTGAAAATCATTTAAAAAAAAAAATTGACTTTGAATGGCAGTGTATATATATTTAGAATTTTTATGTTAAAGAGTGTGAATGTGTGTAAAACATAAAGAGACCAAAACACTATATCAGACCTACAGGGTTTCCAAATTAGAAGGTTACAAAAAAGAAATACAACAGACGTGGGTGGTTATTATGGTTCATATAACTGTTTAGGGTGAATACAAATTGTGTGTGCTATATTCATGGTGCTTCTTGTGTCCTTTTTAGAGGTTTCCTCTTCACAAGTACCCACTTATGTTATATGGAACAGCCTTGACATCTTTTTTTTTTTTTTTACAAAAATTAGCAATTCATGACAGAATTTTCATTTTTGGGTCCACTGTCTCTTTAATTATATTTAACATGTAAAATTTGTAAAATGGACATTGAAATTAATTTTCATATTATGTGAACTTTCACTGTGAGGATCTGAAGGTCTTGTATGCAAGACATTAGATGTGTAACAAGCTGTAAACAAAGCTCCATGTCTGTTTTCTGTATTGCTCTTAGTTTGTGAGTCTTACCATTGGGAGCCTTTGTCAGCTTGTCTTTTGTCTTCATAGCAAAATCTCTCTCCTCTTTCCGCTTTTCCTCATCCTCAATCAGCACCAACACTATCTTAGCCTTTTCTCTCACATTCACCCCCTACAAAGTGCAAATACATTAGTGACAATCTGCCATTATTAATGTAATGAGTGTAGAACAATTAAGTATTTTGCAGTACCTGGTCCTTTCCATCCTTGTCTGTGAAGCGGTATTCTGTTAGGGCCTTAATAATGTGAATGTTCTCCACACTCTGTTGAGGGATGCGGTCAGACCCCGTTTTCAACAGATATTCAAGAAGAGTTAAAGACTATGGAAGAAGAAAAGAGAAAACATGATCTATCAGGTGTTTTGACAATCCTTAATAGATATAAGTTTGGGGTCATTACATTTTTTTATGTTTTTTAGAGAAGTCTCTAATGCTGAACAAAACTGATCAAAAACACAGTAAATCCAGTAATACTGTGAAAAATGACTACAACTTAAAATATCTGTTTTCTATTTAAATACATTTTAAAATGTAATTTATTCCTGTGATGGCAAAGCTGAATTTTCAGCATCCAGTCCTCTGTGTCACATTATTGATCAGAAATCATTCATTTGCTGCTCAAGAAACCATGATGCAATTTTTCCAGGATTCTTTGATGAATAGAAAGTTTAAAAGAACAGAATTTATTTGAAAAATACATTTTATAAGTCTTGATTGTGACTTTTGATCAATTTAATGCATCCTTGTTGAATGCATCCTTTTTTCTAATCTTACTTAATATCTTAATACTATTTTACCACTTATATTATTTAAATGATGTTTTATTATTCTAGTTTTAAATACTAATATTATTAATAATAAATATTAAAGGGTGTTACTAGGGTGTTTTGGGCCATGTAATTCTATGTGATGGGTCACTAGCAAACATGACTAAATATAAAGCATAACTCAATCTCTCGTTCTACATCTCTCTCTCAACAATAGCCATAAGTAAACAACAGAGGAAGAAACATCATGGCAGCGAAGATGAATGGAAAATCCTGCCTGCACATAATCAAACACTGCAGCGGCAGCAACAACGGACCTGCTGACAGGAAAAAGCCAGCCACTGATCAGGTAACATGATCAGCTGCGTAATAGAGTCACAAAAACGAGCACTTGCTATAAATATTCAATCAGTCTGAGCCGGCAAGCAAGCAAAGAATCTGGTTCCTTAAACCTGGAGAGTGTTCTCCTCAGCTCTCTCCTTCACTCACCTTGTACACGTGCCTCCAATTCTTGTCATCATTGAGACGCTTCCAGAGCATGCTCACAATCTCGTTACAGGCCACCACATTGTAGGTTAGATCCGAGATGTCGGCCATCTGGGAGCTCGATGGCCCCCAGGGGTCATTAGAAGTCGCTTCTCGAACCTACACAACATATCCAACACGTAAAGTTTCGCTAGGCTATAAATACTCTATATGCAATGAATACAAAAGTTCACTATACTCTTCATTTCATTGGTAAGAGTTTCATAAACATAGATAAAATGTACAACATAATATTTATTCACAGTGGATTCCACAATTTAATATGCTACGAAAACATGAGGTCAGGTGACCACAATGTAGAATACGACTGTAAGAAATGTTTATCGTTCCATGCTGTTTTATATACTAGTTTTAAAAGCATAATAGGCAGTATATGACTGAATAAATCTGATAAATATAAGTGACAAGAGTAACACAGTAGTGTCAACTTGAAACTTGAATGGTGTTGACTAAAGAGAGATGACAGAAGACAGAATAAACTGTGCAATAAAAAAGCAAGTGAAACTCACCTTGACCTCTGCCTCAGAGAAATTCTGAACAAGATTTTTCAGTTGTCGTCGTAGCATTGAGTGAGTCATGATGGCGGTTTTGTCCTAGACCTTTTTAAGAAAGCCATTTTTTGAAAAACTTTTTTTTCCAACATTATATTGTACAATAAATATGATCTTAAAAAACTGCTTATTTTATATCACATATCATAATTATTATTAGATAACTTAGATAATTAGGAAACAGAGGCTTTATAATATGGCATAAGGCACTATTGTTTCTGTTATTTACTCAATTTATAATAGAAGGTATATTTCAGAGCAGTCTTATTTCAGGATAATTATATTATTGTAATATTTATTAACATTTGAATTAGTTTTTAAGATGTTCTGTTTTCATTTTCATTTTAGTTAAAAGTTTTGGTCATTTTGCAGTATGTTTTTGTCATTTGTATTATTGATTTTATTATAATATTTTATTTCAGTTTTGGTTTTAATTATTTTAGTCTATCAAAATGAAGACGAGAAATGTTGCCTTGGCAAATAGATGACACAAAATAAGCTTTTTTAAAAATATTTTATTTCAGCAAATATTTATTTTATTTCAAGTATTTTTTATAGTTTTAGTTGTAGTTAACTATATTAACCCTGATCAGAGCTCATAATATACACCTGCTATTATGAATAGGTTATTAATTAAAGGGGTCATATGACATTGCTAAAAAGAACATTATTTGGTGTATTTGGTGTAATGCAATGTGTTTATGTGGTTTAAGGTAAAAAAAACACATTATGTTCCACATACTGTACATTATTGTTTCTCCTCTATGCCCCGCCTTTCTGAAACGCGTCGATTTTTACAAAGCTCATCGTTCTGAAAAGCGAGGTGTGCTGTGATTGGCCAGCTATCCAGTGCGTTGTGATTGGCCGAATACCTCAAGCGTGTGACGGAAATGTTACACCCCTTGCCATATTGTGATGCCCTGTGTCCCGGCGCGACAAAACCCATTACAAACGAGGCATTTGTTGCATCCAGTGGGGACATAATTACTGATTATAATGACTAATACTGTCTTTTTACGCGTTGCGTTGCATCGCGCCGGCGGCTACTCTCCCAAGAAACAGTCCTCCGTAAAATGTGCTGCACACATCTGAATATTTGGGTTAAACTGTTCTGGAACAGTGTTGTAAATACAACTTAACCACTGATTTCTAGTCATGTCC